AATTTTGTTCTAAAAATTATTTTTACTTTATTGTTCGGTTAGTCATAGGGAATTAAAAAACGAGTGGCACTACACTAACCTTTTAAGGTCTGGGCCTCAGATTTCTGTATCAGTTTCATGATCATCTGTTAATCTAATAGGCAAGTAGGTGATTAGCCTGCTGTGCGTGACAAACGCCGTTGACTTTTTGGGTCTAAGGCAAGCCGGTTATCTCACGATTATTTCCTTTATCTTACGGGTGTATTTAATACACACATAGACAAAAAGTCCATTGGTGCACAGTCGGGGATCGAACGAGTCGCAGGCTGAAGCTACTATCACTAGGCCAACTGCTCTCATTAGGTAATTAAAAAGATGAAAAGTAGATCGCGTAAATCATTGAAATAATAATTACAATCAATTAACAATCTTACATTTTAATTAACGTTTGTATATAGGCAATACATTAAATATTCCATGACCTGTCGGCAATAAATAATGCGTTAGAAAATAGCTTTGTATAAAGAATTGAGGTTTTGTGGGTCGTGAGAACCCACACCTACGGCACGCACTATTTGGAAAATGAAAAAATGTTGACAGTTATTTCATCATATTATAACATTACTTTCACTTGTCCTGTATTGGCCTTAAAGACTGTTACAGCTCAGTTCGGGCTGTTTTTGTATGAATAGCCTTTTTTTAAATGGAATCTCGCTGTTGGCCTTAAGAGCCTTTACAGCTCAGCTTGGGCTATTTTGACGAGGGTAGCTCGGCCGAAATGGGCGTTTTTCCCGCGACTAGCGCAAAGGCCTCTCCTGCAAGACTCGAACCTCGGCTTGGACCGTCGCGGGGTGGTCAATCGCCGGAAGGGCAGTACGGAAGCTAACTGGAGTGAGCGAAGTACGAAGTAAAGATCCTCGCCTTCCCCGATGTAGGCGGTTTTACTAGGCGGTTTTTTACCCTAATCTGATTTTGGCGTATGAACAAGGGGCTCTACTAATTAATATACATTAATTAAAGCAGCGTTGTTATCGCATTTCATACATGTACAGCGCCATCTTTTGCCTAAAAAATAAATTAAACTATGAATTTAGACAGTTACAATGAATTAATAGGTTTCGCCTAAGTTTCAAGACTTCTTTTAATCAAAGTACTTTCTTCCTTACAATATAGATACTGACATTTAGTATGCAATTTCAATGTAGTCTTGAATTGCATAATATAAAAACTCGATATTGGTATCTATTAAGAGTTAAAAATGATGCTGAGCATGTTAAATCTATATTTATAAGTAGTATTTTCAAACGATCTTATAAACCACCATAATGCGTAAGCCTAACTAAGTGGTGTTTGCGTTTGGAACACTTTAAAACGCTATTTTCATCTTATAAATTCTATAATCTATTAAATTTTATAAATTTTTTTTTTTAGGGGACCCTTTTTTTTTCCCCCCCCCCTTTATAAAATGTATTAAATTTTTACAGCACCAACTTCAGCACAATAAGCAATGGCTATGGACGACTACCAGGCTATCTAGCTTTAGGGAAATAATTACGCTACTCGGAATTCTAGGTTTTATCACTGTCACTTTAAGGAGTTTTAATTATAATATTTTAAAACCCCCGTTAATATTGTTAGGTCATTTTAATGAGTCACCAAATCAAGACAATAACTTGAAGTTTTGATATTATTGATTGGTACAGTCAACAAATATAAACTTTACCAAATAAAAATATCAAGATCACATGTTGTTCCATACTTCTCCGTCGACCGATCTTTAGGAAATTTTTATGCATATTCAGTTAGTCTGAGAATCGGCTACTATCGTTCAAACCAAGTTTTATGGGGTGTCCATCCCAAAAATCAAATATGTCTTAGATTTTTTTTGTTTTGATTTTTATGATCGCGTCATAATATCAAACAATTTTCCCCTACCCCTTTTTATTGTAATTAATAATAACGGAGAGTGAGGGCCAAATTCACAGAAAAACCTAATAAGTTTTACTTCCGGATACATTCGGGGTAGTATAGCAAAATGTTCCATTGTTGGTACTGTACAAAATAAAAGTTCGCGGGGGACTTATTTTATATAAAATTTTAAAGTGTAATACAGAAGCATTTGCTGATAGTACAGTAATAAATCTAGTAAACTAAGTGGCGTCCGTTGTAACACGGCTTGTTTGCACGATCAAGATATCTGCCTAATGATTGTTACAAGACATCTGGGCACTGAGCAGTCTTTTACCACGAGCTTTTAACTATGGCCTATTATAATTTAAATTTATCGCTTTATTGAAACTAATAAACCTAAGTATACATAATCAGATTTTTTATTTTATGCAACGAATTTTCTTATTCCTACTCACTCTATTAATCTTTCGAATAAGAAATTTATTCGAAAGTTTAAAAGTACTACAACTAGTACTAAGGAGTAACATCCTAACTTAAAGATATGTACCAAGTTAAAAGATGATCATTGTAATAAAAAAAGAGATGCAGACGCAGTACAGTTTACACTCGCTCATTCACTCATATGCACCCACACACTCACTCATTTATGCGTGTTACGCGTTACGTAATGCTTTTTTTTGGAAAAAGGAAATTTGGGAGAAGAAGAGAGTAAAAAGAAAAAACTAAGTTGTAATTGATTGAAAAACAAATGAACTAAAAGGTTTTAATTGAGTTAACTATTAAGTTTGGTATTTTTTACCGTATTTTTTACCTAAAAGGGTTCCCAAATCAAACACATTATGGTGCATTACTTATAATACGTATAAATAAACACATTTTTATTTAGACTGAAATCTATGCCTCAATAAAGTCTTCGAGACCATAATATATCATTATAGTAACGATTTTACAAAGCACAAAATATGTATAAAATAATGCTAAAGAATCTAAAAACATTATACCGTTCAAGTCACCCTAAGCCTAGATATGATCTAAGATAAAGATTGTATTGACAGCTCTTTCAGTTAGGTTCAAACTCGAATTACCATGAAATATCGTATTTATGGATATAATCATAGAGTGTATAATTGTATGGCTAAATTCATCTAAGACTTGCGATTAGATATAATGAACTTTGAATCTCAATTCATGTTATATAAGACGTATTTTACGGTGGCTTGATTATAGGTTCTGTATTGGCTGCCTTCATAATGAGACATTGATATGTTTACATTATTCATATTCGTGCGAAATAAATCACAAATGATATGATTTTCTGCAAATGGCAGTAGGAAATGAGTTGATCGCTTCAAATTGACAACGGATTTAAATAATTGTTTTTGACTTTCAAACGGGGTCACAGCTCCCCAGATGAAGCTTCCTGTATTCTGTTATAAATATAGTGTTGTTTTTACAATCTGAAATTGTTTTTGATTCGTTTATTTATTTTTAATCTGTCAATAAAAATACAAATTATTCATATAGGTAAATTTTTTAAACTTATGAACGACAATTTTTTGCCAGTTCTCTAAACAAAGAACTTAGAATGGACGAGAAGAACTGGCAAGATCTATCTCCACCTTAATCAGTTCCACTTTTGATCGCCAAGTATTTTAAATCTTGAGAATCGTATAAATACCGTTTATTTATAACCTCAATATTTCTATGATTAAGATTATTACGTGACTTCTACTTTTTCTCATTCTTTTGCAATTATCTGTCTTACTGTTGTTACGTTTCATCTATCACGGTCTTCCTAGTAGATTTTCTTATAAGCAATAAACCCCCTATAATCAGCAATTTTTTACACTTCGTAAAAATATTTTCATGCAAAAATCTTCTCAATTTCTTGCAACAATAAAACATACTACTTAAAACCAGAACAGTCCACTTAGTAGAAATATCATAACCAATTAATCTCTAGAATATGACCAACAATAAAAATACCCTAGTACAATTACAGTGCAGATCCGAGGCACGTACGATGCTCAATTAGAGCGCGGTATCTAAAACGCGATATCCTCACCCATAACGAAGAGGCTATCTTAAATTTCTCATCTTTTGACTCATGCAATGTTCGCGAAAAGTCGGACTTAGGCCTATCAACTAAAAGTAGAATGCTTCATTATATTCTCGTTTATTTATGAAACGTTTTAAACATTATTTATTTTATTTTAATGCGTTCTAATCTGTATTTATAGAGTTTTTTTTAATAAATTCGGTGCAGAATTATTTCACTAATGCTTTCATGAAAATTGAGTTACGTGATACTGTGCATACTTCAATATTAGGTTTTAATTGAAATTAAAAATTACGTTTTTATTTATTACTAACGGTCTGTCTAACTTCACATGATTGGTTTATTTTAATAATTACATAACTTTTGTCTTTATAATATTATTGTCGTTCTCTTATAGATAGTAAAATACTGTTGTCTTTTATTGACATACATTTTACACATAGAAAAACAATTTTTTAACGGATTTTTGACATTCAACACCTTTTGTCTTCAGTCACCGTGACCACGCACGCTGTAAAGCACGCGAAACGTCGGTTAAATTTAAAATTATGTAAAATAATTGTAAAATTTATAATACTTAACTTCAATCCGTTAAAAATTTTTTTTCTATATAGTAAAATAGTGTATAAAAAGTATCAACGGTACTAGTAGGTACAATCTAATATAATTTCATATAGTAGGTCTACTCTTATATAATTAACGTAACGTGTATTATTAATATACACATAAAATATGACATCGGTCATATTGTTTCTTTTTTATCACAAAATTATACCAACCATAATTAAGTTTATTTGCCAAAATTTTAATCAGTTTTCATTTCATTATCTCTTTGTATTAAGTTTCATTTCGATTCCTTAAAACGGCCAGTTGTTCCAATCTAAAATAATGTGACAGATCTTTATTTACTGAAAATCGAAATTGGCGAACGAAACTGTAGCACAATCACATAATTTATCCTCTGTACGGTTTTAATTGAGTAAAAGAACCGAGGCCGCTCTCAGCATGACAACTTCCAAATCCAAAAATCCACGAATTACACCCATAATTTATGTTCGCAACAGGACACGAGAGTACATCTGCAATATTAAGCGTGAGATACGTCGCTCGATATGACCCACATTCACTGCGAGCGACTGTTTATGATGACTTTTTGAAAAATGTAGTTTTTAATTTCGAGCATGGGTCGAATCGAATGAGCTCACATGCGACTTTAACTGTACGACATATAAATTACTACTTCTTATGCCCGCTACGGAAGTCAATATTTTACACGAAATTAATGCAGACGTTTTTACAAAAATCGAATTGATTCACATGTTTTAAATTTCGAATTTCTCTTGTTACAGTCGTTCTTCGGGCGGACGTATAACAACCTGTCCTCGATATCCGAATGCAAGAACAATGGTGAATGCGTCATCAATAAGAAGAACAGGACAGCTTGCAAAGCGTGCAGGTTACGAAAATGCCTGCTCGTTGGAATGTCAAAATCTGGATCGAGGTACGGAAGGAGGTCGAACTGGTTCAAGATACATTGCCTCTTGCAGGAACAGCAACAGCAGCATATACAACAATTACAGACAAATAAATCACCGCCTTCATTTAACACGTCAATAAATCCTTCCTTCCTCCCAACAAATCTTTTGCCGGCGGCGGCTTTAGCTGAATATTATAAAAATTCTGAGAAGTCATTTACTGACGACGTAACACGGCAGAGCGTCTCGCCGTCTGACTCGGGGGCATCGTCAGCTGATCCTGAAGATGATAATAGTTCAAGAAGCACTAGTGGTTTAAGTATATTCCGATCTGCGTCATCACCAAGCAGTGACAAGGATATTCGTTTACATGCGATTAGAAATCAAAATAAAGATGTTAAACGGAAAAAGCCGTCCATGGCTCCCTTTGGGGTATCTCATCAGCTGACTCCAACGCCTAGTTTTACACCACGTACTGTAGCTTTTATGCCATCTCCAATGCCGCAAATGCGACAAATTCCAGCTATGAGTTGGCAAGGTCGCAATGGAGGTGATCTATTACTACATTCCCCTGCTGTTGCTGGGATAGCTGTGGAGCAAGATCAACCTATCGATCTATCCATCAAGTCTACTGCTGTATTGTTTAGGAGTCCTAATGACGCTAGCGATTCCGAACCTGAGCTGAGCATTGACTTGAATTCAGACAGTAGCAAAGATATTATGAAAAATCCCCCTGGACTTAAGTCTAGGACGGACGGAGGAAGTGCCAATGACAGGGTAATGTTATTTTAATCATGCCAGACACGTTTATATAAATGTAAATACCTTAGATCTGTATAAATTAATTAAGAAATTACTCTGCCATACAGTATTTAAGAATCTGGACATTCCTTCTTTGTAGAGTATTTAAATTTTAATTATTTTTATGTTATTTAGATAATAGTTAAATAAACAATGAGGTAGTGATATCGAATGCCATGTTTACTGTAAGTCGTATTTTGACTTTTAATGTGTGTTTAAGAGTAAAATAATAAAGGTTTTTTTTCGAAAAAGTTGGCTATGTTTGCTTTTTCTTTTATTGTATAGAAATTCACTTTTATCTTAAATCCTCTTTCTAATGATTTCGACAATGCTTAAGATTATAGTTTATTTTAGAATACAAGATATTTAATCTTATAAAAGGATATATTTTGTTGTACATTTCTTAAAAATTAATCAGCTTTTCAGAATTTCGATTACAATTAAAATATTAAACTATTTTTTTCAAACTAGCTTTTGAGAAAGAAAACTACTGTTTCCTAAAAAGTTAATATATTTAAAATTTAGTTCGTAAAACTGATATTCGTGCCAGTGTTATTTGCCAGTGTATATATGTATTACCAGTTTAGATAATGGGATTTGTGGCCAGTTTGTTGAAGCTTAAAATTAATGTAAATATGACTTGTATGTTACAACTAGACAAGCTGTTTGGTATATATTTTAGGTTGCATCGAGTTGCAAGTGGTAGCTTGCTCTATTTTCTTCTTTTCGCTTTAAATGGTTGCCATTTTGGAGAGCTTCTACACGAATATATGAGTTAAAATTTATATCCATTTTTATGTTTGTGCTCAAAAACTACTTCAAAAAATATTTCGCCATAACAATGTTTTCTCCATAAGTAACATAGGTTTTATTTTAAAACATATGAGAAATTAATGACCACCTAAAATAATCAGTGACAAGCTTGTCTTATACTATTTCGTTATTTCCTTCTAACCACGCTTTGTTCTCAAATATATCTTTTTATTTAAACATATTATATACTCTAATATAAACTGGTGCCTAAGACTAGGAACTTTTTATTACCCTTGCAAGAGTAAACATTGTAACCATAAAAACAACGATATGATATAGCCGAATTATTGAAAAAGTGCTAGATTTGAATTTTGTTTAGAAATTTTTAATTTTACCAAACAGCTCGTTATCGTAACATAAGTATATTATTTGGAATCTTAAGTATTTATTTTAGTTTTAAGGCCAGTTAATTGAGTCATATTAGTTAAGATAGAACTAGAATAATTCTTATTTTGTAATTTATAATATTAGATTGTGTTTTGGTTTGATTTGTGTTAATGTTTCGTTGTTTGTTTTTTCAATTTGTTGGAGATTTTATACTTTTATACATTTTTGTATTGCTCATGTCAATATCATAGTTGAATGCTCATTATAAATCAGCAAAGAAATACTTTCTTTTATTTATCCCTCAAATAACCTAATTTATACAGACTTATTGGTAATTCCAGTGTAGAGTTTAAGTCAAATTCAAATCATTTGTTTCAATTAGGCCTATTAAAAAGGTACTTTTGAAAGTCAAAATTACAAGTTGAAAATATAAAAAATTACTGGTTGCCCCTTCTAAAAGGTAGTTTCATATGGAGAAGAAAGCGCAAGAAATTCCATATTTTTAAAATAGTTTTAACAGTATTTTGTATACATTGATTTGATAATTGTATGTGAAGACCATGTAACAAAAAAACTACTATACTGAAATAAAATAGGCGCATGGTTTTATAAAAAAACAACGCAGAAGATAACTTAATTATTATGAAGGTACATGGTGCTCACATATTTACATAGTCAAGGCAAAACATGATTGCATGCAACAGTGTCATAAAACATTTTAAGATTTAGGCAAATTTATATATCTATCAGACGTATATTGAGACCTACAAGTTCATGACATAGTGCTAAAAAACTAACTAAAACTTTTGCGTCTAAGACATATCAGTTTATTCTCGATATTTATTTTCACCACAAACAAGTGTTCGTATAGAAAGATTAAAACTGCTGTTACAGAAACGGATATTTAAAATTAGAATCTACATAATTTTGTTACCGTTTAATTAAAATTATTAGTATTTTTTACAATATATTTATTATTTACAGAAATATATAAGTAATGTACACACACTAATTTCCTAGTATCAGTGTTTATTCCGTGAATACAGAAGTAATATTTACGAAAGATACGTAGGCAAATATTGAGTTAAATTAGAATAGACACGCCTAGGATATAAGGTTTATAATGGCTTGACGAAAATAGTTCGAAAATTGTTACGCTACTGTCAACTACTGTGGGCTTCCGAAAATCAATTATTAATTATTCAATAGATACCTAATATTGAAACTACGTTGTGAGAAATTTTTGTAGTTGTGTTTGGTTGACATAATTAGGAATACAATCGTATGGAGAAATTGTTTCGCTAGAGAAACTACGTCTCAAGAAGACAAAAACCACTGATATGGCATTATTCTTCTATATTTATCAAATCAAATCAAATTATTTAATCATGGGTAACACAATGTATATTTATGAACGTCAAAAAAGGAATACATATTAAATGCTTCTAATTTTACATTTATTGCCAGTTCTCAAGGGTGTAGAACGGAGGAGAAGAACTGACAATAAACTCTCCGCCACTCTCTATATGTTAAGTGATATCGCCGCTCATGGACTCACATTGCCGGAAGGCTCGCGTTGCCTGCGTTTTAGGAATTGGTAGGGTCTTTTCTTGAAGGACCCTGGGGACAGCTGGGGTTCCAATGTCGATCTAGAATTGTTCGACCTTAGGGTGGAGAGATGTGCACCTAGTGACATTGCTTACACTGCTTGCTTTAAATTTAAGGACTATCAAAAAAATTACATTTTTAATCGTGGTATGAACGCTAGCTGTTAAGCCTTCAAAACGTCGTGTCATGTAGATAATGTAATATGCACCCTAAAGAAATTTAATTTAAATAAATATCATGAAAATAAATTAAATATAGAGCAAAAACTCGTGCTCCACTTTCCAGCTGTCTACGGAGGAAACATCTCAATAAATCAGCGCCATTTTAAGCTGTAACGACATAATTTTTTGGTTAAAGGTGTAATCTCAATTAGGGCGATATGTTTACTCGTTAAAATCGCAATGATTTTGATTGTACATTCGAATGGAAAAGTGATTTTTGTACAAATCACAAGTGGTAACTAGTCATTTATAATTAAAATAAGTTAGTGCGTTTAAAGGTCAAAAATCTATCTATTTCAACATGTAAATGCTACTTTTGTAGATATTGTTTACAAAAAAAGTAAAGTATTTACTTTTCCTTTGCACAGTAAAGATTATAAAACGACTCAAAATTTTCATTTACTGTCACTTCTTCAATCATTCAAAAATCATTTATTCACGTAGGTAACACAATGTACACTTGTGATTCGTCATTAAAAAAATAAATATTAATGCTTCTAATTTTACATCAAGAGTGTAGATTGAACACGTCAAACTGCTAACTGCTAAACGGTAAATTACAAAATACTTTTAAGGGGCTGTAACCCTTATCTGATCTTTTATCACATGACACGGAAACATTGTGATAAAAACACACTTTTAGCCTCTATCAGCCACAGGAATAACGAAATAAGAGCACTTATGGTATAGTGAGAACAAAACGCAAACACATGAAATATAGATAAAAGTGAGTCACGATTAAAATATTTAATAATTTACCATTAGTCCTAATTTGACGACTATGAGGAGAACTTCCAAAGCGTTATAACTAAAAAAAATCTTAATTTTTATTAGAATTCTCTATTTAAGTCAGATTATGCATTATGACATTGTTAAAAACATATAAATACAAATTAGTTCATACATACATATATATATATATATATATATATATATATATATATATATATTATATATTATTATACAAATATATATATATATATTATATATATAGCTATGTATATATTATTGGGTGTTATAAATGTGTTAACACAATTTATGTAGGTTAAAAAGTAAATATTAACTAATGTAATTGCATTCAAAAAATATTTTCGAATGTCAAATTACTTTTTTTTAATTTTGACCATATGCAATCAGCCTCTTGGCTTTTATTAGATTTAAGGACATGTAGTCACGTTTTGATTGAACGTCAAAAATACGTAAAATTTTAGCGGGGAATACGGAATAATTCAAAATAATCCTTTGCCTTCAGTGGGATTTTACGCAATAATATAACAGGGCAGTTAAAATTAAGTGTAATACTAAAACAACACTAAATTTCCGATTTTAATGACTACATAAGCGCCGACCATTTTATTGCAATTATTTCACACCTTTCCACAGTAGCTAGTTTTGTGTTCGAGCAGGGTTAATTAAGTCGAACGCTTTTACGCCGTTAGTAATTACAAGAATACTGATCGCAAATTTTAACCCCATATTTAGATAGCTATTCGAGAACACGTAACGAAACTCATTCAACGCTAAGCAAGGAATGGAATCTTTAAGGCAATTCTCTTGCGACTGTACACTTAATAATTTGCCCATTACTCGCACTAACAAGCAACATTTCTTTTCGTATTCACTATGTATGGAAATAAAAATTTAAAAGAATGAGAGCTCCAATGACTTCCTGGCTCAGCATGAGCGTGCCTAAGGGGCTCGGTTGGAAAACTTTGCAATAAGCAAGACATGTTAGGTTAGGTTAGTAGCGGCGTGTATTTATATTTTTTGAGGGAATTAGGCTTACACGGGTGTTAGAATGTACGTTTATATATTTTTTCATTAATTTCTCAGAAAAATTCATGTCGAGTCATTCAGTTTAGTTTTTGAGACATCATGCATTTCTGGAATCAATTTTTAAGTACTAAAAAAAAATTTTTTTAATTACTTACGTTAGATAAAGAATATATTTTCTCTTGTATTTGTTTAATAACAATGAAATTATTATTATTTATCAGATATATTTCGTCAA